ATTTAAATAAATACGAAATAAACATATGCGAGCCTGATAGTCTAGATGAAAAATATATTATTTCCGAATTGCAAGAAAAATTGAAAGAAACAGAGTTATATAATAACTCAATGAAGGTGGAATTAAATGTACAACAGATAGAAGCACAGAAAATCATTGACGAGCAAAAGAAATGTATTGAGGACTTGAAAAAAAACGATAATGAAATTAATCATTTAAAAAGTCGCATAAATGATTTACAGGATTTCATTCAAGATATACAGAAAGAGAATGTATGCTTGAAAGAACAAGCATTAGCAAGATCGGTATCAGATCATGATTTAAGCAACGGTGACTTAAGCAACAGTGGTCATTCTTTGAAAGTTATGGAGGATTTGTCCACTACAAGGATATCCTTAGACGATAGTGCTAAATTATCATCAGATCTCGTTTTAAAAACTCGAGAATTAGAAATAAAACACGATGTGCAAAGTTTGAAGGCAGATATAGGAAACTTACACGAAACTATTTATTTATTAACAACAGAGAATAGTGATTTAGCGAATAAATTGTCAGCAGAAAAAGAATGTGCCGAAAAATCGTCTACTCAATTTCAACAAACGATTGACGAACTTTATGCGCGAAACTCAAAGATAATAGATGAAAAACTTGAGTTACAGAATAATTTGGCAATTCTCAACGAACAAATGGATATCTTACGCTCGAGGATGCCCGAAGTGAACTCAAACGAAGAGCAGATAATTCTTAGATATGAAGAACAAATCAGCGCACTTACAGCAAAAAATACAGAATTATTATCTAATGTTACAAATACAATGAAAGAGATTGAAATGTTAAAAGAGAGTAAATCACTTTTGTATGAACATGATTGTACGTACAAGGATGAATTAACTGATCTTATAGCAAAACATAAATATTTGACAACTGAAAACAATGAACTTTCAACTGATCTAATGGATAAAATCGAAGAGAATGATGGATTAAAAGAAGAATGCGATATTTTAAAAAATAAACTAGAATTATTATTATTGGAACAACATGACAAAGACATTGGTAATGATAATAAAGAACAATTGAGAATGGAAAATACTTTGTTGAAAACCGAACTAGTAGAACTGAAAGCTAATATAAAAATGTTAACCAAAGAGAAATCGAAAATATCTAATCAGTTAATGGAGACCATGGAAGATTTGGATAATGAGCGAAAAATCAATTCTTGCAATAATACTTTGCAATTATCCACATTTAATAACTCTTTAACGATGAACGATACAATGGATATATCTATAAAAGATGACAATGTTGAAGCAAAAATCTCACATTTGCAAGAAGAAGTTAATCGTCTTAAGCTTTTGAATAGAAAGCTCAGCGATCTAAAATTAGGTGCTTGTACTCAGTGTGCCCATCTGCAGGAAATGACTGAAAATCAAAGAATGCTGAAACTCGAAGTGAAGGCTCTCACTCACAGACTAGAGGATTCGCAAAGAAAGTTTAAACGTGAGTTTGCAAAAAGCGATTCGCTTATTTTAAAAGCTAAGGAGGACATAAATATAAGCATATGTAATTCATCTCTTAATGCTAGTTTTCTGGAAAATATGAATGTTAGTCATGTTGAAGAAAAACTTCAATCTCTACATAACAAATTACAAATTTTGGAAGAGAATCATGATAAATTATCAGATTTGTATAAAGAAAAATGTAATGAAATCGAAGAATTACAAAATAGCAGTGTTACGGATTCGTCGCCGAATAAAGTTTATAATATGAATACTAGCGTTAAGAAATCTCCAAGCAAAACTACGAGACTAGAAAATATGGCAAAAGATATAAACCATTTGCAAAATGACTTTGAGAAAATAAAGGAAGAAACTGCGAGGTTAAAAAAAAATCTTAGCAAATTTATTAATGAAAAAGACTCTCTACTGGATGAAATTAAAACGTTGAAAATTGTTAATGAAAAATTACTGCAAAAGATGTCAGAAAATGAATTGTTGTATTTAGAAAAAACAGACATCCTTGAAAATGAGGCAAGAGATATGACCAAAAAGTTGCAGGAATTTTCAGTGAAATGTAAAGAAATTGAAGATGCAAAACTCGTTGTTGAAACTGATGTAGAATTCCTGAAAGTAGATAAAACGGAAAAAGAACGAACAATAAACGAATTACGCCAAAGTCTCTCCTGTTTACAACAAGAGTTGGATTTAACAAAAAGAGAGAAAGAAAACTTTAACAGCAACAATCTTTTGGAGCAAGAGTATGAGAAGAAACTGGAATCGTTAAAATCAATGAATGTAGAATTGACTAATTCTAAAGCAACTATCTCTCAAAAATTTGCTAATTATTGTAAAGAATCGGAAAATAGATTTACAGAATTAAATGAAAAAATAAACAAATACACTTCCGAAAACGATTATTTAAAACAGGAATTGATTAAGCTGCGCGACATAGAAAATAAATTTGAGACGATGAGAAACGAGTATCAATCCAAATCTCACCAAGATAAGACGTTAGTCGACGATAATAAAAAGCTCAAGAATGTATTAAACAATATTTCCAAAAATATTATTAAAGAGATTAAGTCTCTCAAACCAAAACTTGATGCTGAGGAATTTCTGGATAAATCGGCGGATGAGCTGTTTCAGATATTTTTACAAACAATCTTAGTAAAAGAAGAAGAGATAGTAAAGACTATGCGAGATAACTTTAATAAAGAGAAGCAAAAACTTGAGGATGATAAACGACAGAGCGTGGACGCAGAGAAACGTACAACATTGTGGGCCAAAGAATTGGAGAGTGAGATAGAAAAACTTCAAGGAGATTTGTCCCAACGAGAAGCTGTGTCTGATGGATTGCAAAAAGAGGTTGCGCGTTTGGAGCAGCTTTTAGGAGATAATAATCGCGACCGAGATACATTGAAAGAAAAGATTAGTCTGCTCGAGATGGATCTCAATAATTTACAAATTGAATTTAATAAATATTCCAAGATGGACACGGAGAATGAAGAAGTCATTAATATTGCTCAACAACGGGAGAGACAAGCGCAAGAAACAATCAGGAATAAAGAAGCCGAATTTCAGATAAAGTTGAGATCGGAGAAAGAAACGTATACTAAACGAATAGAAGATCTCGCATGTACAATAGAATCGTTAAAAACGAAAAATATGGAATTGACAGGCAACATCGAAGGGCTCGAAGCTAATCAAGAGCAATTGAAGAATATTATCGATCTGAAAAACAACGAATTAATGAAAAGTAATCAAATTATACATAAAATGCAGATCGAATTGGCACAACTCACAGAAATTTACAACGAACTAAATTGTGAATTGGAAAAGAAAAACTTGCGTGTCGCGGAAATTACGGAACTTTTAAAAACTAAATGCGACGATCTTACAGAATATAAAGCTAGGCTGGATACAATTGTGTCGGAGAATACCTTCCTGAAACAACAAATCGGCGAACGAAAAGTCAATGTAGAGCAATATAGAATGGAGATTGAGACACTGAAGATGGAAAACAAGAAAGAGATAGATGCGATTAAAGATAAATTAAATTTCGAGGAATTAAAGAGTATCGAATTGAACAAACAAATAGCCGAATTAAATAAGAAGAACGCTGCTTTGACGGAAGAAATAAATACCTTGAGGGACGATTATGCGACAGTGCAACATAAGTGCATTACATTAGAGAAAAGAATCAGAAATAGTACGAGTAAGATTCAAGCGGAGGAACAAATGGAAGAATTGAAGGACTTGAATAGATCTTTGCGAAATAATTTGGATGGTGCTAGTAATCGGATAACAGAGCTACAAGATGCCAAAGCTGAATTGATGAAGCAATTGATTACTCTAAACAGTCAATATGATGCTGCGTGTAAGGATAATCAAGAATTAAGAGAGATATTGTCATCACATAGGTTCAAATATAACGATACATATGCAACTTGCGAAAAGTATGATACTTTACTACAGGAGAAAAACAAAATTGCTTTAGAATTAGAAGCGATAAAAGTTGAATTGGATCAAAAGAACAGAGAAATCAAGGATTATATTAGCAAGATGAAGGAATTAACCGAAAAGAATACGGAACTTGATCAAGAATCGGACGAGTTGGCTAAAGTTATTGGTCAGCACGATGCTGAAAATGCGAAGCTTGAAGACCAGCTTTGGTCATGTCGCATCGAAGGTGACGAGTTACGAGATAAGATTAAAACTCTCGAGAATAAAATTCAAGATCTTCAATCGCAATCCGTGTTGAAAACAGATGTATCCTCCGAGAGAGTCCAATCTCACAATGATGATTGTAGTTGTACGATATTGAAAAATAAGATACGTGAATTGCAAATGGAGGTTGTATCGAAAAACGGAAAGATCGCGACATTGGAGCTGCAAATACGGAGCGGAACTTTCCCTTATCAGGCCAAGTGTAAAGAATTGCAGGAGCATCTATCGGCACATAAAAATAAGGTATTAAATTATATTTCAATTATTATATAACTATTATTTTGATTATATTATAAACTATATAGATTCGATCGTAATTTGCTTTATAAATTGTACTATTTTTCTTTTGTACAGAATAGCGAACTTAAAGCAGAGATTAAACGACTTCAGATTGCCATGCTGCGTACAAGCGCAAAAGAATGCGAGGTATGCAAACAGAGACTTATAAATAGAAGAGATCAGATATGTCAAACAATGCCAAATAATACATTGCGATTTTGCGGTACGAGCAGTGGTATAATCGAAGTAAGTATAGCTTAATTTATACCGATATACTTTAATACGTACTAAATATTATACCGATCAATCACAACCATTCCATTCTTTAGAGGAAGACTTTAGAGAATGGCTATGATTGGCCAGTGTAATACTTAATACGCATTAAAGTATATCGGTGTAAACTAGTCCTATATGTCAGTGTCTTAGAGAGCTAAAACAGTCAATAGCATAGACATGTGAATATTATAAAATAAACATAAAGAAATATATACATAATTGTAGAATGTTTTTGATTTTATTTCGTTGTTAAAGTTCTATTGACTATCACTATATTATTGTCATAACTTTTATATTGTTTTACGTAATATGATTTTTTTACGCAGGATGAAATAAGAATAACAAAATTAGAAAAGGAAAAACAGTTCATGAAGGAAGTATGTCGTTCTCGATCGAAAACCATAAAGGAGCTTGAAAAGCAAATAGCGGAGTACGAAAAATTGTTGCAATTCACAAATTCATGATTACGAGAACTCGTATCTTATATCGTCATATATTTGACAAAATTTCTCTTTTATTGAAATAGTATTAGTATTATCTAATTGAAATAGTATATTTTTTAGTTTATTTATATTGTTTTAATAAAACAATAATTGGAACTTAAAGTTTGTACTGTAAGATAGAGTTTATAAAAGTATATAAAATGTGTAAATGTAAATATTACATCTTTAATTATAGGACATAATATTGATATATTTTTGTAATAGATATATGAAATTGATTAATTATATTTTATACTTTATATGACAATATAACACTTCGATTTTATATAAAACAATATTATATTTTTTTTACCAATTTTACATTTTTGAAGATAATATGATATCTGTGATATAAAATAATTAAATTTAACTTGACTAAGATATAGGATGTATGAAAGGATATACAAAAATTATGACCACTTATTACATGTACGTACATAATTTAAAAAGTAACAGTAATGTATTGTTAATTATTATAGTTCACAAATATTTAATTTTATACTACGACTTCTCAAATTTTACTTTCTTTGATTTATATTTTAACATATGCTTATGTGGTCTCTTTGTACCAATTTTTGTTTGAAACAGATCTGAAATAAAAAAATTAAATGTTATTACATTACAATTGAGTTAAATATTTTTAACTTATTTACAAAATATTAGCATTCAATACATATTTACCTTTATCAGGTTCTTCTCCTACTTCTTCACGATAATACTGCACATCATCATCTTTTTCCAATTTACTCTCTGCGGTAGATTCCTTTGCAATTTTTTGTAACAACATGTCACTTTCCCTTTTTTTCTGAATTCCCTTGAACGATTTCTCTTTGTGTTCTTCTTTTTGTATTTCCTTCTTCCTTTTATTCTCTTCTTGTATTCTTTTTCTTTTTTCCTTCAATTTTTGCTTCTTTTCCCTCATTTTCTTTATCGCAAGTTTTTCTTCTTCTGTTTTATGTATAAACTCATGGAAAAGTATTTCACCATCGAGAAGTCCATTTTCTACTTTGATCAACTAAAATATATTTAACAAAAGGGTTAATGTGTGTGTGTTCAAAAACATGGGGTAAATATCTATACAAATTTATTGTAATATTAGCTTTGATTAATTCTTTAACCTGTAGAGTTATTCTTGGTCCCAATTCGTATAATCTAATCGCGCTCTTAGAATTAGTATGATTCCCCCTTGAAGATAATTTTTGTGATAAGGTAACATGACTAGTTTCATCATCTTCTGCTTCACTTTCAGACATGGTCGGTTTTGTTAAAAAGTCCGAGATATCTTGACATTTAGATAAATTTGGTATTTTTGCTTGTACTAATTTCTTAACACCTCTTGATAAACCTGTAGGTACAACCTTGATCGCATAATGTCTAAAGTCGATGGTTTTCGATGTTGTATTGTAATTTAAACATACACAACGACGAATCGTGCTCAAATTAATCTGTAAGAATATTTGTCAAATAAACTGTTTTCTTGATTTTAATTATATTTTACAATACTTACAGTTGTTAAATTTATGGTTGGAAACATGTTTTGGAATGTAGAGGCTATAAGTTTTAATTGCATGCCTTCCCCACTAAAATTATTTAAAATCACCAATGGAGCATTTTTATAGGCCTCTTCATATACCATTTGTTTCTTTAACATAGATATTACATCTCGTGCCAGGGAAAAACTTTGTATTTTAAAAGTAAGAGTGGGCCCTCTAGGCACTCTATAACAATAATTAATAGTTATATTGTTTTGAATAATCATAGCTCTAGAAAATTATCAATAAAATTTATAAAAGATAAATACAATACCTGCAAAGCTTGAGATACATTCCTAGCTCCGTTTTTGTAAATATACATATGTGACTGATATGAAAAATGCCCGCAACAGAGACAAAGTCTTTAATAGTGTTTTTCTTCCGAATCTTTAAGGATGAAGCTGTAAAGGGTTCCATAACTCTGCGAAAATCTTTAGTAAGCTCCACAATGTGTTCTCCTGGCAAGCCACGATGAAATACGAAGGAATGAGGTGCTTGCACTAACTCTTCCTTTTCCCCCACGTTTATTTGCTTATTTCGCTTAACGCAACGACCCTATATAAAAATTATGTGTTAATAAAAAAAATTCTAAACTATTCTGAATATATTAACCTCTACATCAACAAATTATTTTTTTGATCACATGGTTATTGTTAGATACATAACCTATACACAAATGTTCAATAACGTTTATATTATATAACGTTTTTATTGTGAACATAATTAAATTATAAATTTATATTAATTATGATTATAAGTTTGACAAATAACGAAAATATACCTTTTTACGACCCATTTTCTCTTCTTCTTTTTTTGGATTAGAGTGTCAATTCAATTTGAAAAAGTTGTATAGCCCCACGCACCACACCGTTTTTGATCCATAATAATGAATCTAGCACGGACATGCACCAACCAACTGTTTTACCGCGGCACCGAAAAGTGATTCTGGCCATGTAGTTTCGCCGGCTCTAAAATGGATCCAGGTGGCGCTACTATACTAGCTAGAAAAAGCGTCTTATGAGAAAGACGTGGTACTCTATTTCTATTATGCTATTTTGCTATTATGGGTGCTATATAACTTCTTCAAATTGAATTGACACTCTTTAATAAAAAAAAAAAAAAAAAAGAAAAAATGGATCGTAAAAAGGCATATTTTTGTTATTTGTCAAACTTATAATCATAATTAATATAAATGTATAATTTAATTATGTTCACAATAAAAACGTTATATAATATAAACGTTATTGAACATTTGTGTATAGGTTATGTATCTAACAATGACCATGTGACCAAAAAAATAATTTGTTAGTGTAGGGATTAATGTATTAAGAATAGTTCAAAATTTTTTTATTAACACATGATTTTTATATAGGATCGATGCGTTAAACGAAATAAGCGAAATGAACGTAGGGGAAAAGGAAGAGTTAGTGCAAACACCTCATTCCTTTGTATTTCATCGTGGCTTGCCAGAGCACATTGTCGAGTTTACTAAAGATTTTTACAGAGCTATGGAACCCCTCTTTTACAACTTCATCTTTAAAGATTTGAAAGAATAATCTGTTGCTCTATTGGCAGTGTGCGTTTCCTTGTATTTTTGTATTTTGGTCAAAAAGAAATAATGCTGTAGTTGCTACATCTATTATTTTCGAAAAATCAGGATAAAACAGGTATATATAACAAATATATTTCAAAATTTATCTTAACCAACTTATTAAATAATCATCATGTGTGTCGATTACATAAATACTTTATATTGGTTATATATTTTTAGAAATATGATTTTTCAGTAACTTTTTTGTATCATCTCTAGTTCATCATGTAAATTCATTAATTGATTGCTTTATTAGGAATTATTATACATTAAATGTACGAAAAAGTTGTATTTTAAAATTTGCATCAACTTGGAATTGCTTGTTTCAAATAATATTCTTCTAATGTCGAGAAATTGGCCTCTGAATTTAAATATCTGATTTTACAATTTACTTCAGTCTTTCGCCGAAATATATTCTGACAACTTTGACGATTTTTCGACGATTTTTAACATATATTATTATCTCTCTGATGCACATACTTTAGATATAAAGCAAAAGTTTGACACTTGAATTCGAAAACATTATAAATCTTTAATATATTTTATTTAATATTATATAATTTCTCATACATTTATCAACCAGAGAAACCCTTGTTGTATTATTACTTTATCATTATCATTTTTATATTGGTATGGAAAAACACAGAAAATCTTTTAGCACAACACGGTTTATGCATATAAATATAGTAGAGACAAAAAATAAAATAATTTTATATACAATAAAATATTTTTAATATGACAATGAAACATTATTGAAAATACTGAATGAGCAAACGTCTGTAAATATATAAGAACTTTCACATATAAAAGAATTACAAGTGCTATGGAATAACTACTAATTAACGTATAGCAAGCTAATAAAAAAAAAAAAAAAAAAGTTAATCTTAGACTTTGAGGGCCGGATTAAGCGCGGCCGCGCAATAATAAATCACGATAACACGTGACTTCCCTTCTCACTGTATTATGAATACATACCATGCGAGGGGAACGGGAGGGAAGAAGGGGGAGGAGGGAGGGGAAGTGAATATGCACGCAACGTACTTCATTGTCTCGAAGCGCGGGAATCTTCGGCGCGGCTCGTTAAGCAAAGCGAACTCCTCTCACGGTGCAAAGTTCACGGCTGCTTCACGGGGATCCTTATCTATCTAACGCGTGTCTGGGCCCTCGCACGATTTTTATCACGGTAATATTATACCCCTTGACTGCGAACGATTCATAAATCTGTATTTCGCATCCCACAGTCAGTATTAAATATATAGCTTTTGACTCTTTTTAAGAGTTTAATTGTTTTACGACGAAGGTCTCATTCGCGATGTCTTAGATAAATTAGTAGACTTATTTTAAATACGCTGGCGCAACAAGTTGCGTGTCGATAAATAAACACATTTGTGTGCGCGGCACTAGAACAGTTCTCTGAATAAAGACGACTATTAAAATAACATAATTTAACGCGCCAAAAAATATTTGCATTCATATTTAACAAATGAAAATTAATTAGCTCTTATTAGACGAAGAATAAATCACATGCTTCGAGATAAGTGTTGAAATGTTATAAATGCATTTTATTAACATTTTATTCGCTTCTGGAATATCATCCCTCTCTTTCTCTCTCTCTCTCTCTCTCCCCTCCCTCCTGCCGAAGAAACGCGCGTAACTGTTTATTCGCCCAAGTGAGATCCGCGCGCAACTTTTTACGCCGCTTGTTTACAACTTCTTTTCCGCAAAGATGGAACGCAAAGATATAAAAGCGTGTCTCGTTCCATTTCATAGAATTCCTTTGCCCATTGCGATTCTCGCGTCTACCCAATGCGAGAATCGCGCTCTAGGATCCGTCATCAATCACAATACGTCCGCTCGCCTCGCGTTTAACGGCGACAACAGATGGCGTCAGCAATCCCGCGATCAAACCGCACGCGGCAGATTCGAATAATCGCGCGTGCCGAAAGGAAATTATGTGTAAAACGCGCGCGGCAGCCGGAAGCAGCGAATAAGCGAAACGGTCGACGACAGGCGAAGCGCCGTTCACATGTGGATGATCCCCTCATACGTCTGTCGCCGGTCGTCGGACTCGCCGGTCGCTGGTTCCGTTTTTCCCGGCTGGCTGCGCCTGGTTACGCTTCCAGTTCCCCCGATTCGTTGCCGACGCGAATCGACGGCAACGACGATGACGACGACGACAAGGATGAAGAGGACGACAACGATGGGCATGGGCACGAATAATAGCCGCGAGACGGCGCGCTGGCTGCGAATAAAACGCTCGTGTCGAGGTAACGTTTGCCATATGCCGGGCTGCTAGAAACCGGCTGTGATTTTTGTTGGTCAAACGCTGCTTGGCGCGCGTTTATACTTGTCCCGGTACTCGAGTACCGCGTTCAATGGATTTCCATTAAATTCAATTGAAAATATAATTGCGATCAAAACATTAAAAGAATAATGAATCGATGATACGTATAATGTAATATTATTGAAACGCATTTTTCGATATATACTTTCCTGTATAGAATATTTTAAATCTTATTATTATACGAAATATATTTTTAAATAAGACATACACATAATATACGTGTAACCAAAAATATGAGATATATATACGTATATCATAGTGTCTGTCAGAAAGAATGGTTTCACACGGAGCGTCCTTTCTATTATTCTAATGTATAAATCGAAAAAAAAACGCGATAATGATAGTTATTAAAGCAATAATATAAAATTAACATATATCAAAGTAAATAAAAAAAAATCATCTCTTTTCAACAGAATACATTAGCACATTTGATTAATTATCAGCTTCGAATAAATTGTGAATAAATTTGTGTTAGTACGTCTCTAAATTTATTCATACTAAAAGCAAAGTTGTCATTCTCCGTGAAATGATTAATTATCGGATACAGCCCCACACAGTCGAGGAAGAACGTCGTCAGCGGAGCGCGGAACGTTTCTTGAACCGCGACTCTCCGCCGCCGCGAGGGGTCTCGCCGTTTTTCTCTGCCGCGCTTCGTTGACGCCGCTCCATCGAAGCGGTTGCCACGCGGTGGGGACTTTATAGCAGCGAGACCCAGCGCAAAAACGCAACCTTCGTGCTCAAAGCGAGACGAGAGGCATGCCACGATGACGATCGTCGGGGCGCACCGTTGCACCTGCATCTCCTTGTTGCCCTGTTGGCACTCCTACCTTACTGATCCCTTACCGCGGGATACCGAGAATGCCCGCGAGCGTATAACGCAGCGACGAGGAGAGCCTGTCTCTCACCTTTTAAGAGATACTTTTCCACATTACAGAAATCGTGATGTGTAGCAGTTATATATATTCTGAAATCAAAACACTTTATTTCATATTTTTTTTACATGCTATTCGTACGATATACATTACTTGCATATGACGCTAAGGAATAGGAGACGCATATCTTGTAGATACACTTGTTTTGTCAGTCTTTTATAAACTGTACACTTCAAATGAATTCGCGAGAGAGAATTCAGGATAAAATTTTATATTAATAATATCGTAGACAACAAATTAACAAACTAAATAAAGCCTCTTTCACTTTCATTACAACATAATTTTATAAAAGCGTAGAGAAAAATAATATCTCACAAAATAATTTAAAAAAAGATAGTTATACAACTAAATATATGTAAATAAAATAAAAATAAGAGAAAACTCAGGGCAATAACAACTAAAATATGAAAATAAAAGTAGAATCACTTCGTTCGCGAGACATAGGACAAAAAATAATAAAAGAGAAATTGGAAACAAATCATGATTGAAAATAAAGTGATCGAAAAATTAGAAAAGAATATTGTCCAATATATAGTAAAAGATTATTAGAAAAGAATACTGTCGAATATATAGTAAAACATTATATGTCCAATGTTTATGTACGTACGTCTCACGTATATTGTGTAAAGAAATAAAATATTTGATATTTTGTTCAAGACTTTTGTACTCTACTTGCACGAGGAACAGGTAGTGCACGAGGAACACGAGCAAGCGGTGGAGCTGGTGCTCCAACTCGTAGCAGAGCTGCTCGTATCGGACCGTGACGACGGACTGGAACTCGGATCGCTCAGTAACGGTTGATGCAAGTTCTTCTCTATGTCGCGCCACTCGGACTCGAACGATAGCGTCGTTTTCGCATTTTGCAATGGTGGTTCACTTACATCGCTATCGCTCTCGCTCAACGTCGATGTTTTCACTCCCACTTCCGC